TATTGAAAAGACATTAAAGGAATCCAGTGTACGCGATATTAATTATAAAAATAACACTTCGCCTATTTCTTACACTGAATGTTTGAAATCAGCACAAATGAACGACATGGTTTTTAGGATCCCGGCCCATATCAAGATTTAAAGTCGATAATAAAAACTATGACCCAACATTTTATTAAGCATGACGACTGACGAGGATAATAATCGCAAATTTTTAATTTTTTTTTGTAATTAAAGTTACAAAAGGAGTGTTTTTTTATATTAAAATCCTTGACCGCTTTCAAGACAATGTCAGGTTTTCCATTTTCAAACGTATCCTGAATTTTTGTCCTGTCCGGGAAATCAAATAATTGTAGAAAACGTTTCTTCTGCTAAAACTAAACAACTAATGAAATATTACAAACGACTTGATGTTCTTATTTTTTTCATATTTTCATATTTTTATTCAACTACAAAGCACGAGATAATACAAATAACAATCACAATTAACTATGTAGTTTGAACCCGTCTAACCAGAGTAGTTTGTTTTAATTGGTTGACCAACTATAAACGAATGAGAATTGTAATTAGATAAATACATGGGTGTACACTGTACAGTGTACATTTTAAACATAATAATGATGAAAAATCAGGAAAAAGGTAAGGGGAGGTGGGGGATTATAAGGAATTATATTATGCTCTTTTTTTTAACAGATATAACTTGCATAAATATCAAAAAAGATCTTGGCGACTTTTTTAAAACAATTTTGCAGATTTACTTTTTTAAGCTCTTATTCAATCGAATTCCATATTTTTAAAAGAAAGGTTAAACAAATGAGCTATAGGATAGACAATACTTTAAGATTATTTCCTTCAGTACGTATAGCTATAGTATAGTAGAAATATTGTCCTTACCTGAAATGTTTTTAGGTTGAAGTTTACCCACTGTTTCAATAATAATTTCTGGTGTAATATTTGCAAACACAAAATTTTACTCAGATGCTTTCATCAAATTTGTCCAACGTTCACTAAAAAAAATCATTAAAACCCGCTGCAATATTAGCAGATCCCACAACACTTTTTTATCATCAGTGAAAATTTCAGGAACAAAATGACTTTTTATCTTAGAAGAAATAATAGATTTTAGTAAACTTTTTGATGTCTTTTGAGTATTCTGTAAATTTTTAATAAAAATAACTAGTCTTGGCATTTTTTTGTTGTGCGATAAACAGAATTATATTTTCTAAAAGCTTCTATGTTATTTGTAGTTGGATTCAGAATTAGTTTCTTAAATGGAGTGTTCGCGAAAAATGAAAGGGGGTATAGGCTTAATGTGATAAAAAGCGCTTTTGATCGCTACTAATCTTACTTCTATCTGTTGCGTCTATAAGGAGAAAATTGTTAAAGACGTCTCATACCGAATAACTTAGCGTCCATACAAATTCACTTTGAATTTATCTTTCTACGATAAATACGTAATTTCCTTTTCCGAATAATTGAAAAAATTCTCTCACGTAAAAAAACATTTAAGATACCAAATAAAAAAGTCGCATTTCAACGTTCAAAGTGTTTTCAATGTAGAACAAAAAAGCTGATTGCTATTTTAAAAAGTATTTCAAACGTTTTAGTCCTCTAAGAACCTGGAGAGCAAGCAATTTCTAAAATTCAAATATTAATATATTTATTTACAGTTGTTTTCAAAATAAAACATGAATTTAAAAAAAGTCCAATTGTAGATTTCGGTTTACCAAGCAGTCCCAATTCTAAGGTCCAGACATCTAAACAAAACAAAAAAATGTTTATATAGCGAATTCACTAGTTTGTTTGGTGTTGAGAGTTGAGTGTTAACTATTGAGTACTGAATGTTGAGTGCTGAGTGTAGAGTGTAGAGTGTAGATTGTAGAGTGAAGAGTGAAGAGTGAAGAGTGTAGAGTGTAGAGTGTAGAGTGTAGAGTGTAGAGTGTAGAGTGTAGAGTGTAGAGTGTAGAGTTTAGAGTGTAGAGTGNATGTGTGGTGTGCCCTCCCTCCCTCTCACAATACAGTAAATAATAATAGAATAAAATGTGTGGTGTGCCCTCCCTCCCTCTCACAATACAGTAAATAATAATAGAATAAAATGTGTGGTGTGCCCTAATAATAATAATAATTATAATATCAATAAAAAATGAAAATGATTTTAATAATAAGTTTAATGATGATAATAATAATACGAATGATGATGATGATAAAAGTAATATACCTGCTGTAAGGCGTCCTGATGTAGAAAGGACGAGTAGGAAGAGTAGGACGAGGATAAATATCGTCCTCCACCAACTCTCACTCCACTCCGTGCAAACTAAGCAAAAAATAGTATGTTTTAACATAGTATTAGCATCAGTATTGTGCTCTTTGAATGAATAGATATTTAATATTACGATTACAGTCTAAATATTTAGATTTTATAACAGTTGTAAAATGAATTAATATAATATGTTACAAAATTACAAAATAAATAAATTAAAATTAAACAAGACACCCACCCCACCATACCCAACAAATAATGGTGCCATTCAGTTTATCAATGCGCTGTCGAAGAAAATTCAAGTGAGCATCAATTTGAAGTGGACATATGCACGATTCATGCCATTTATCGTATGAACACTGAGAAAGACATCGTCTTTTTTCTGTCTAAAAAAGGTGTAATTTCTTTAATTTCCTCCTTTTCTGCTGTATAGCCTACTTGCGCAAATTATTTTTATTGAGAATCGTGTTAAAAATAGTTTTAGGACAGATTATGCAATCAATCAAAGTATTAAAGAATATCCTTGTGAACAATGGATATGCATCTGGTCAAAATGATTGACGTCGAAAGACCATTTTAAATAGAAAATTCTTTTTTTATTTACCTGATACTAAAAATTGCTAAAAATAATTTCTTTAAAAAACAATAAATACTACAGAGTACAGGTACCTTGATAGGATTATACAGATTATTAACAGCAGAATCTATCTGAGATATTACTCGTTCCATCTCAAACATTTCCTTAATACAGACAAATCTTCAATATTTCCTAAATACAGACAAATCTCAAACATTTCATAAATACAGACAAATCTCAAACATTTCATAAATACAGACAAATCTCAAACATTTCCTTAATACAGACAAATCTCAAACATTTCCTTAATACAGACAAATCTCAAACATTTCCTTAATACAGACAAATCTTCAATATTTCCTAAATACAGACAAATCTCATCCACAGTTTTTTAATGCCTGAGTTGATTTATTGCTGTGCTTGTATGATTTATCACTCAATGCTTTTTCTGTGGGCTTATAAAAGATTATTTAGATTGAAGACTCGAAGAAATAAACGTTCGGAACCTTATTATTATCCTTTTGTTATGGAGAGCGTTGAGAGAAGGAAGTCTTACAATCCTATCCAGAGAAATACTACACGGTACTTATAGAGATTTCATTAGGTCTTTAGGAAAATCGCTAAGTAGCGAAACATACAGACAAATCTTAAACATTTCATAAATACAGACAAATCTCAAAAAATTCCTTAATGCAGCCAAATCTCAAACATTTCATAAATACAGACAAATCTCAAACATTTCCTAAATTACATTTTCGACTTCTCTTTTTCTCTTTTGTATTCCTTCTTTGTCCTTCAATAATTCTCTCACTTGTTCCTCAAATAATCTAAAAAGAATAAAAAAAATTTTAATTGAAGTAAAATAAGCCTAGGTTTGTCTGTGTGTTTAAAAATCTAAACCTGTTTGTCTGTGTGTTTAAAACTCTAAACCTGTTTGTCTGTGTGATTAAAACACTAAACCTGTTTGTCTATGTGTTTAAAACTCCAAACCTGCTTGTATGTGAGTTTAAAACTCCAAATCTGTTTGTCTGTGTGTTTAAAACTCCAAACCTGTTTGTTTGTGTGTTTAAAACTCTAAATCTGTTTGTTTGTGTGTTTAAAACTCTAAGCATGTTTGTATGTGTGTTTAAAACTCTAAACCTGTTTGTCTGTGTTTTTAAAGCTTTAAACCTGTTTGTCTGTGAGTTTAAAACTCCAAACCTGTTTGTTTTTGTGTTTAAAACTCTAAACCTGTTTGTCTCTTTGTTTAAAACTCTAAACCTGTTTGTCTGTGCGTTTAAAACTCTGAACTTGTTTGTTTGTGTGTTTAAAACTCTAAACCTGTTTGTTTGTTTGTTTAAAACTCTAAACCTGTTTGTCTGTGTGTTTAAAACTCTAAACCTGTTTGTCTGTGTGTTTAAAACTCCAAACCTGTTTGTTTGTGTGTTTAAAACTCCAAACCTGTTTGTTTGTGACCAAATGTAAAGAACTTTTTCCTTTGCTCTTAGTAAAGATGATTTCCCTTCTTCTTCTAGACCTGAACACTCATCCCGTATCCCTAGAATGTATGTGTTATACAGGGAAAACCTGAACATTTTGGAATAGGAAGACGACTTTTAGAGTCAAGTTATAACTTTAATTTCTAATAAACATGAGACAAAGTGCATAATAAGTGATGTAATAAGTTACTAGTAAAACTATTCGGTTCGTAACAATACTTAATTATTTCTTTAATGTCGTCTTCCCATTCCAAAGTTTTCTGGTTCTCATTGTATAATTGTTGAAAATATTTTTCCTACCTTAATAAAAATAGATATAGAATGGATTCCAAGGATTGAAAAACTTAGATTAAAATATGTTGTTAAGTCCAAGATCTACGTGTTATTATTTTATTCTTCGATATTCATTGGTGGCCATACCCTGCGGGGATAACTTTAATTAAAGAAACAAACATTTATCCTCAAATTTTTAAGTTCCCAGATTGGATATCGAGATCAAGCGTTTACGATTTACGATACTCCACACAAAAGTTTCGTTTTCTGATCGATTTCAATCTGATTTCTATAATTTCATATTCAACAATTTAAAATTGTTTAGATTAAATATCTTACTCTCTGAATTGTGAATAATGTTCTCACTACTCCAGGGAAGGAAAAGATCACTAAAAATAAAAATACAAAATAAATTGAAGAAATTTAAATTTTTCTCTAAAATGTCAAATGTCATTCATTCGCATGATTTAAGCAAGGGAAACGTTTTGCAGGCGCTTCATAACCTATTTAATAAAGCTCTTCGCTCATAAAGATATATATTTTTATGTTAGATATAGCTGGCCAAACAGCTGGACCAACTTGTTCGAAATTTTCTACAGGAAACCCTTGGAAGGACAAAGGCTGAAAAATTCGATTTTTAAAAATTCTGAATCCTCTATTTTTTTATTCGAATTTTTTCCCCAGATTTTTAAATTGACGGGCACTTGAGCTATTTATATGTATATATTGTAGTTAACAAAATACAAAGAATAGAAATTTTATAAAAGTTGGTTTATTTTACCTGTAGTTTTCGGAGTTTAAATCAGATCTAAAAATGGAATAAATATTTATCATTCATTCTTCTAGACTGAGATTTAGTTATTGAACTTGAAAGATTGAACTTTATTGACATAAAAAATGTCTTCGCAAGAAAGTTACTCAAGATTGATTACAAGAACAGAGACTGTATAGACGCAATTCAACGTGGTCCTCAATTTAAAGTGCGGCATGTTCAATTCCCAACGGTGCTCTTAAATAATCTAGTATAAAAGAGATATCCATGCTCTTAACTTTGAAAAATTATTTATTTTAAATGTGGCCTCTCTGAAAAAATGACTTGGTGATTTCTGGTTCAAAAACAATGGAGAAGATGTTAGAATTAAACACCTTTCAGGCTAAAAAAGAGGACGTCTTCTACATAGTGATCAGCTAAAGGAATAAAAAGGATTAAAGGAATTGGGCATGCCATTCAATAAATAAGAATTATTTGATTTTACACAAGCAGTCCCTTTCAGAAGTAAGATCTTCTCATTAAAATTGTTATCTCTTAAGGAAAAATGTAACTTTATTTATATTCACCTTTGTTCCAGTATTTGTTTATTTATTTCTATATTCTTCTTTGTACAGTTGAGATTGACCGTTAAGCTGCGCCGAGCTAACTCGCAGCTGCTCAGCTGATGGGTTACCTGGACACGATTTTCATATTTTATCAACTAATTAAAGGGACTTAATTTCATGTCACCCTCTATGCAAAGATGGCTATGCCCAAATTACAAAGCTTCCTTTTAAATCTTTATCTGATCATTAATGTAGAAGATGTTGACGTTATCTAGCCTTAAACCCGTTTAATTCTAAGTATTCCTGTTTGTTTCCTTAAGTAGAAATGCGCAAATCACCTTTAAAGGAAACCACAATTGAAAATAGTCTGTTAAATCAAAATTATTAACATTAATATATAATTCATACTTGTCCCTACAAAGGTTTTAAGAAATCGGGCATTGCCATCCTTGCATGTAGGGTCGCTTTAAATTATGTTTACAGTCCCTTTAAGCCTGAGATAATACAATCAATTTATTATTTCGCCTAGACCCGCCTAACCAGTGTTAGGACACTACAGAGCTAGGATGTAAATTTGGATTTGTTCTCACATTGAGCGGGGGAAGGCACACCACACCATTTTTTCGTCCGCACCATAAATGAAAGCGTCACAATTCAAAATTATTTATTCTTCTTTTTCGTCCGAGTGTCGTGCTTCTGTGTTTTAAAATGTATTTTTTATTCCTTGTAACACTTTTTTTAATTTAGGCAACGTAATGTTATTTAGTATGATTTGATTTTGTTAAAAATGCATAATGTTTGAAAAGTAAACGATATCAAAGCCCAATTTAGCACAAAACGGAAAATATATGTGCCTCACCCAGTTTTCGTCCGGACAACAATCTTTTCTGTTGTTTTCTTATTTTACTCCTAGATAAACTGTAATTTTGATAATAGTCGCTGGGATTTCAATAATCTACAACTGAAAAGTAACAGTTTTTATTAGGAAACAGCAATTAGTTTTAATTAGATGGGATTATGAAATAAAAATTTCCATGAAAGGGTGTTTGTCTACTAAATCTTTGAAAACCATTATATAAACAACATGACGTGGAGAAAAATTCAAATAAAATAATGTAAAGAACTTTACTGAAGAATGTAAACAATGCTTGACAAAAAGTTGTGGTCGGACGAAATTATGGTGAATTGTGAATTGTGGTCGGACGAATAAAATGGGTGGTGTACCCTCCCTCCCTCTCACAATACAGTAAATAATAATAGAATAAAATGTGTGGTGTGCCCTTCCTCCCTCTCACAATACAGTAAATAATAATAGAATAAAACGTGTGGTGTGCCCTCCCTCCCTCTCACAATACAGTAAATAATAATAGAATAAAATGTGTGGTGTGCCCTCCCTCCCTCTCACAATACAGTAAATATAATTTTTTAAAATTTTGAAAATCCGCGAAATTTTTTGTAAAAATCCGCGAATTATTTTTGTTTAGTTTTACGATGTACACAAAGAGAACATGTTTACAATTAATTTAGAAGATGGGCGCGAAGCGCCCTCTAAGGCTAGAAAGAAGGGCGCGAAGCGCCTTGAATTTCTAGTACAGTAAATAATAATAGAATAAAGGTAATCAAACTGTGGAAAAGGAAGACAACGTTGTACCAATTTTATGTGTATTTCATATTGTTGTAAATCTAAAAGCTTTACGAAAAGTTTAAAAATCAACTTATCCAGTAGAATGGATATATGTGTATTTTGCAAAATTGCTCTGTTTCATGTTTGTTGTGATAATAATAACTTAAGTCTTACAGTTGTCTTCCTATTCAGCAATATTGTGAATCTCGCTGTATCAAAATATCTATTTATGTAATGGTAATTGTTACTTTTTTTAAGTGCGAAAAAGTTTTTGCCGGGATTTTTATTCAAAATGAAAGTATTACGTTCGGTTTGAAAATACTTTCATTTTGATCTTAAACAAACTAGAAAAATTAAAAATTACAGCAAAAACGTTTTCGCACGCATGATACCCTTTCAATAACATTATAAACTATTTAAAAGCAGGCAGATAAAGTTACTTAATCACCCTGTTGTAGGGTGATTAAGTAACTTTATCATCCTACAATGAGACAAATTAGGTATGAAATTTGAAATTTTAATAGCAGGGTAAAAATTTTCAACGGGAAATATTTGGTGTGATAAATTCCATCAAAATTATCAAGATTATAGATCTCATTTTGCACTTCAACCTTTTGTTTTTATTTCCTTTATTTTCTCTATGTGAATTGATTAAAATGTGAGCAGAGCTCGCTGGTTTTTTGTTTGAAATCCAAAACAATTTATGATCTATCAAACAGTCAGGAGAAACACTTTTCCTTGGTAAATAAATATCAATAATTCTTTCATATTTCAATATGAGAAATTGCTTCCAAATGAGAATTTTAAGATATTACGTTTGTCACTCTTTTTGGGTTATACTGTTGAGAATCTGGCCCGACCTTCCCTTAAAATTACTTGATAGTCCCTTTAATTCATTCAAGAGTTGAGGAAACGAATTAAAAATCTTCAGTAAAGTTTAATAAAAGTGTGAAAATAGGTTTCTAAATATAAAACTGATAAATGGATTTTTTTTATTTTAAAAAAGTATTTCTTTCTAAGAAATATATTTTTGTTAAGCCAATGTACTTTTAAAAATAAAGAAGAATTATTACATCATTTTTAAAATCTTTTTAGGAATATCATCTGTAATTCACATCCATTTTAAAAATCTTCTGATCAAAAAACTGATCAATCATTTTAAAAATCAGCTGATTAATCAGCTAAATGATCATACTGTTGTAGGGTGGAAGTTCTAAAGAGTTTGTTTACCTGAAGAAAGAGTGATTTAAGTTCCCTTTGTACAGTTGTCAGTACATCCCACTCTGTACTCAGCTGTACATCTGTATACTCAGTACATGCAACACATTAATATCCATAGAAGGGGAGGATTCATTTGTTGTACGGCCCCGATTCATTTGCTGTACTGCCCCATTTTATAGTCTTATAGTCTTGTTGACTTTAAAAGTCAATATAATAAAATAAAAGAGATCTAAATGGATATTTCTAACATTTATTTAATAAAAACGAAAGTTTTGAAATAGTTTCCCAAGTGGGGTTAAAATTGGTTGGTTTAGAAATTAACAAAGGAATAAATGGTGAATATTTGGGGGGGACTTCATGGGAGTGATGTAGAGCTTCATGTTGGTGGAGTAGATCTACAGGAACTGAAACAGCAGGGCTTATCCAACCTAGTTGGCAGTGATCGCGGTATTATCATGATGTGGAGCTTCATGTTGTCTCTGGGTTACATGATAAACTGGGAACCCTTCGGGTAAGCGAGTATCTGCGTCATCATCATAAAGGAGTCAAGAGGCTCCCTGTGTCGGAGCTGTTACCAGCTCAACTCTCTAAACTTGACTGAGCTGGGATGTGAGGGGTGAGGCGGGAGCTGGGATGAGCGGGGTTTGACATGTGGGCACTACATGGAGGAAATGGATAAACACGTCTTGAGAAAAGGCTACGGCATTTGAGTCGGTAAAATCGTCTTCCTTATATTTCGAATTTATGTTAACAAGTCTGTATACCTAGCTGCCTGAAAGTCAGGCCGGTACTACAAATCTCGCCCTAGCTGCCTGCAAGGTACTACAAATGAACCGGAGTTTTCAGTGACACGCATTAAACAAGTTTCTGAATTGAAATGATTTTAAAGGGGTTTCCTCGACCAATTTTGCCAACAAAACATCTCTCGCAGCGCTCTGGATGTTTCGTACGCAATATTGGTCTTGAGAATCCTTTGAAAAGTCAAATTCGCTTAACTTCCTTGTAAAGAAGTTATAAAAATTATATTTCTTTATTATAAGTAGTGATGTGCGTTTGGTTGGTTCGTTTTTGCCTATATTTTCTTTCACAGCATATAGCAAATGATTAAATGGTTTCAAAATTCGAAACATTGGCTTTTCTAAGTTTCTTGCACTATGCCAATATTGATCCTGACAGAAAATATATGCGAGAAATAAACCAAAAACTATGCAAAAACGAATGCGTTATAACGAATGTTTTTGGAGCATTTTCCATTTTTTTAGGATAAGGATATTACGAAGTTAAATAATAACCAAAGCTTTAACAGACCACAGTTATGAATTCTTGGAAATTTTATTAAAAGTTTTAAAAAAAGATTATGAACAACTCTAATAACAAGGTGACCCTAGGCCTTTGATACATAATGCTAACCCAAAAAGGTCTAGGAAGGCCAAGGTAATGAATGGTTATATTTCCTCGTATATTTTTGCATCCTCGTTGCTTCACGTGAATGAAGAAATATCTCACTTTTTCAACTGTTCAACGCAATTTAACATTTTAACATTCACATTTAACATTAAACCCTAACTCAAAAGTTTGAAAAAGCTATTTTAACCCCAAGTATAGGATGGGGGGAGTACAAAGTTCCCCAATAATTTATAAGATCGCGCACATATTTCCCTAGTTCGTCTTGAACACTATCAGGCCACCATCTTTGTTCCCTAAAAACAAAACAATAAATATTTCTAAAATTAAAATATTAAATTATTCCATGGATGTGAATACCATTATTTCTGCCTTTTTGCGATGAAAGCAAGAAAATCTATAAAAACAACATTATACAAGGACTTGAGACTTTGACACAAAATTTTCTAATCTCTTTATCTTTGCAACCTGATAATTTAAACTCAATTTATTTGATCTAACAAAATTCACAGGTTGAAATATTCTAAAAATTAAACGACATTGGGTTGCAGAGTTATAATGAGGACACCTACCTATCCCGCCTGTTTCTTCGATTTACTTGAACTGGTGTCTCTAGAGCAATTAAAAACCTTCTCATCTCCCGTCCTAATTCCAGTAGTTCAACATCCTTAATCTCATGTAGGTTTAACTCTACCTAGAGTAATTAATTATAATCCTTCTCATCTCCCGTCCTAACTCCAGTATAGGTCAAAATTCTTACTCTCATGTAGTTTAAACTCTACCTATATTAGTAGTTATAAACCTTCTCATCTCCCGTCCTAAATCCAGTAGTTCAACGTCCTTACTCTCATGTAGGTTTAACTCTACGTAGAGGTATTATAAACCTTCTAATCCGTCCTAAATCCAGTAGGTCATAACCCTTACTCTCATTTAGGTTTTACTCTACGTAAAGGTATTATAAACCTTCTAATCCGTACTAAATCCAGTAGGTCATTACCCTTACTCTCATGTAGGTTTAACTCTACGTAGAGGTATTATAAACCTTCTAATCCGTCCTAAATCCAGTAGGTCATAACCCTTACTCTCATTTAGGTTTTCCTCTACGTAGAGGTATTATAAACCTTCTAATCCGTCCTAAATCTAGTAGGTCATAACCCTTACTCTCATGTAGGTTTTACTCTACGTAAAGGTATTATAAACCTTCTAATCCGTCCTAAATCCAGTAGGTCATAACCCTTACTCTCATATAGGTTTTACTCTACGTAGAGGTATTATAAACCTTAACCTTCTCATCTCCCGTCCTAAATCCAGTAGTTCAACGTCCTTACTCTCATGTAGGTTTTACTCTACGTAGAGGTATTATAAACCTTCTAATCCGTCCTAAATCCAGTAGGTCATAACCCTTACTCTCATTTAGGTTTTACTCTACGAAAAGGTATTATAAAACTTCTAATCCGTCCTAAATCCAGTAGGTCATAACCCTTACTCTCATTTAGGTTTTACTCTACGTAAAGGTATTATAAACCTTCTAATCCGTCCTAACTCCAGTAGGTCATAACCCTTACTCTCGTGTAGGTTTAACTCAAAGTTATAAAGTATAAGGTTAAATACTCTGGATGCGCTCTGAGCCTCTGATGGACGGAAAATGTTGTCTTTCTAAGAACGGACACACAAATACCTATTATGACGTCACATATACTTGATTAACTGATTGGAGTTTGTTCTCAGCTTAAAGACGAGTTAGTACCAATATTTGGAACAATTTTTTTAAAATCCATTAAAAAGTGAGACTAAGATACTTTGAAAGATTAGTTAATTTTTCAGAGAGTGGTGAGAAATTGTTTTAAATATTATTTTAATAAATAATCAAATAAAAATAAACAGGGTTTTATCAAACATCAAACATAAGTATAGTTTATCTAAAGATCATAATTAATTAGGGTTCACCTAAAAATCAAAAATTAATATGTTCTCTTCAAAGATTAAAAAAAAAATAAAGTTTATCCGAAGATCTTAAATAAGAATGGTTTATCTAAAGATCAAAAATGTACATGGTCTCTTCAAAGATCAAAAATAAGTATGGGTTATCCAAAGATAAAAAATCGATATAATTCCTTAAAGTTTCTTCAAACGTCACAAATAAATAATGTATTTTCAAAAATCAAAAATTAACATGGCTTCTACAAAATCAAAAAGAATATGGTTTCGTCACACATCAAAATAAATCTGGTTTATCCAAAGATCAAAAACTAATATGATTTCTTCAGAGATCAAAAATAAATATGGTATTTTCAATGATCGATAGATACATATCGCCTCGTCAAAGATCAAAATAATCTTTTTCTCAATTTAGGATTCAATATTTGCATTTTGAAATATGGGCTACGTCTATTTTTTAATGATATCTCTGCTCAGGAGACTCTATTTGCTTATTAAGCCACTTAATAAGTATAAACATTCTAGTTTTGCTGTACAGTTTAACTAAGAATGTCCAATGAGGGAGGGGGTGCAGAGGCGCCATGATCCCCGCAAAAATGATCTCCGAGCCTCAGGATTTGCAGAATTACCTCCAGGCCCCGCAAAACTGGTCTCCCAGCCTCAGTGACGTCACCAAGCCTCCCGCCATTCTGTCTCCACGCCCCGCATTTTGGCTCCAATAAAAAAATATTTGGCTTTTATTTCCACCAAGAACCTTTTTTTAAAAAATTCTCAACATGATGAAATAGTTCGGAATGATACATTAACATTTTGTATTAAAAAGTGAATTTTAATTGAGATTAAAGGCTTGTATTTTGTTTTTCTAAATTTCACAAATTCCTTAAATTGTGAAGAACTATTGCAGTTTTGTATAAAAGATAGAAAAATGTTATATTATTTTAGAGGGGTCTCATATACGAACCAAACAATATCAGCGGCAATTTACAAAACAAGGTAGTTTTTGTGAAATCCTTGTATTTGTGATTTTATCGTATGCTTTAGAAAATATTGAAGAACTATTTTAAAAAAATTAAAACAAAGAATTAAAATAATCTAAATATCTATTACATGTTATACTAACAGGTTAGGGCAGCTTCGTGTCATATCTTGTTGTTTTAATAAGTTAAATTCAATTCTAAATAGTTTTTCTTTTTTTAGCAAGAGAATTCATTTATTTGACTGAAAAAATTGATATACAGAGGTGGGGGGGGGGGTGCGCAAAAACTCGTTTATCATAAGACAGATCCTCATTAATTTGCATTTTTATGATAAAATGTAATGCTAAGGAATCGAGAGTTAATAAAATCTTCAAATCATGATGCCTTCTAAAATATTAGATAACTCGTTTATAAAGGTCGTCTTTTACTCTTTCCATCTTAATGTAAACTTTTACAGATAAACAACTCCAGAACAATTGAATGAATTAACATGTCAAAATTGTTGATTAAACGGTTCTTTAAACTATGACGGAGTCTACTATGAAGAGATTTATTTTGATATTTGTTTGGTAAAGCCAATAAATTTAAACAAAAATAAAAACAACAAGCGGAGACCAAAATGCGGGGCGTGGAGACAGAATGGCGGGAGGCTTGGTGACGTCACTGAGGCTGGGAGACCAGTTTTGCGGGGCCTGGAGGTAATTCTGCAAATCCTGAGGCTCGGAGGTCATTTTTGCGGGGATCATGGCGTCTCTGCACCCCCTCCCTCGTCCAATGGAGCATCAGGAACCTAAATAAATTTATCTTGGATCAGGAATCTTCTGACTACTGTTAAAAGTACAAGGTTAGTTGCATCAAAGATATGAGACATGAATGGTATGGTTGAACTTAAAATCTTACAGTTTATTTTCTTTTTAAAAACAATTTCTGCGAGCTTTCAAAAAGCTATTTTAAAACATGCAGTCATCTCTGATGTATCATCTTTTGGGCGTAACCATGTATCTAGAGTAATTTTACCTCAAAATGATTCTTGCATTACAATGGCATTAAACATTCTCAAGTCCAAAAATAGTTCTCTAGGAAATTACCGAAAAATTAATTTCATTTTAGATTCTAAATTATAAACATATTTTTATTGTGACTTTTAGGGTTAATTAAGAAACTGCTCCAGAAAACACGTGAATCTAACCTTGAATTCCTTCAGTATGACTGCTCCGACCTTAACACCGCCTCCACGACCGCCCAGGACCTCCTCACCATCCACTACTCCTCATCCACCACCAAACTTGCCTCCCCCCCTCTTCTCAGCACAGTCTTCAACCTCTCGCTAGTTTCAAACCTCCTAAACTTGATATACCTAACTGGAGCGGCAAATCTGCAGTCCAGGAGGTCGCTGAAGACCTCTCTTCCAAGATTAAAACTCTCCAGGCCAACCTGATCATCATGGAGAACTTCCACAACAAGGAGAACCTTCACAGCGTTGCCCTCACCCAGTCTCTGGTGCAGAACATCATGAAAAGCCTGCCTATGGAAGTGAGGCCATCTTTCAACGATCAATTCTCCAGGTTCCGCAATCAGTGTCCGGACAATGTCCGACCTCCGGCCACATTCTTATTCCTAGCCCAATTTGTAGAAAAATTGGAGAAGAACTATCGATCCACTCCTTATCTCTATGACCTTGACCTTGCTCTCTCAAACATAGGGGTCAAAGTGGTCAGACAGGGAACCTCTAAACCTAAACCTCGGCCTCCGAATTCTTCTGACCCAAAGAGATTCCGTCCTCCTAAACCCTGCGCCATGTGTACAATAATGGGGTTTGAAGCCAATCACTTTTCCCTCAGCAAATACTGTGAATCTGGTAGACTGAGCTCACCTGAGATCCTCAAGTTGATCTTCGACAATAACCTCTGTTTCACCTGCACTCAGGCTCACGGCAGTAGTTTTAAGTGTAAGCTTACTCTCACGAACGGAACCTCCAGAGTGTGTACCAAGGGATGCTTGCAGCATGGAGTCCCTGTGAACAAAAGGGCTTGCATACACAACAACCAGGCCCACTTTGTCACGGTCCCCAAGGTCAGCACCAACCAGTCTGTTCCCTTGGTCGAAACCTTGAACCTGGGCGGGACGAAAATAATAATCCAGTATGACACCGGCTGTCAACTCAGCCTCATCTCCAGGTCAGCTCTTTTGACCATACCTCAATACATGTACTCCGTGGGACCCTCGTACAAGATGAGGGTGCTGACCTACTCGGGGAAAGCAAGAGTTATCCTCATCACTGAGGTCAAGCTGAAGCTACTCGGGAAAACCCTAAGGCTAGCGATGATAGAGGACGACCTCAACAACGGTTCTGGATTTTCACTTTCAGTTCCTCACAAGTGGAGGTCGTTCACGGGAACCTGGACCTCACAGCATACAGGCCAAGTAGAAATTCTACTTGGCGGCGACAACAATTTATTCTTTCCTTCAGAGATTGAGCGTGACTCACAGGGAATGGCCCTGTACCGGAGCAACCTGACCCAGGGATACATGGTGTACGGATCTGTCCCCTCCAACATAGTCACCTGGGGGTAACCTCTTGACCCTCCCTCCAATCGTACCAGGAAATTCAAGAGGTCAACCTGGAAATCTGGAGAAGGAACAAGTGGGAAACCAGATCTTCCTGTTAAAAACTCGGAGAAGAACCAAGGAAACAGGAATAGAACCAGGAGGGAAACAAAAAAATCCTGAAGGAAATTGGGAGGAAAAACCAGGAAAGTAGGAGGTTAAGCAGGAGAAACATCAATTTCTTCTAGAAGAAATCAGGAGGAGAACCAGGAAGCTCGGGTTAAGAACTGGAGAAACGGGAAAGGAAACAGGAGGGAACCCAGGAGCTTCAGAGAGAAATCGGGAGGTCAGGAAGAGAAACAGAAGGAGAGCCAAACCCTGAAACCTAACCTGAACCTCACGCCAACCCCAACCTCTGTAAGATCTGACCCTACATTCACTCCACTTACTCCCACCAGTCCGGAATCCCAGAACTATTCCAACACTCCCGTCGAATCAGAAAATCTAGCTCCAGATCCGAGTTCCAGACCAGAGCCTACACAAGATGAATTCCACCCGGAACTCAAATAAATCAATCAATAGAGCTATACCCAGCATCAACAACGGAACCAACTATTTGAACATTTCAATTTTTTTTTAGAATACAAACAGGAAACATTTAAATATTTTAATTTATTTTTTTGGAACACAAACTGAAAAAAAAACGTTTCAATTCAAATTACTTAAACTTTCCCTAAAAATTACAAAACAAAGAACCTTCAATTTACGATTCTTGAAGCTGACACAATCATTCGCATTTCTATATTGAATTAAATAATGATCTTTTCTAGTTTAATTATTCCCTTTATCTTAGCTCTTTCATTTAATTTATGTTCAAGATTTCAGCCCATTTTCAGTTTACACATTAATTTTTTTTTTTTTTTTCATTCTTCCTTTAAATTATTTTAACAGATAAACACAGGAAAATGTGCGTCACAATTTCAATTCTACTTCACTACTTTAATCTCATCAGTTATCATTTGTTGAATGCTGTATTAATTAATGTACCTCGTAATTTACTTCTGTTTATTTCAATCAATCAATCTAGTACCTATCAATCATTCAAACTACATGTTTCTTATATTGTTAATGATTATACTTTAATTCTCGTATGATATCCAAACATCCTCGAACACCTGCCTGGGGCCAGTGTTAACCATTAACTTAAGACCTCCGTGTAATGTCGTCTTCAACTTGAAATCTACTCTCGGAGAAAACCAAACCAAATAATTTCAGCCCCATTCTCTTTGTTCTCTGTAGGACGGAGCCTAAAACACTTTCGTTATTGTGAAATCATTAAAGTTAAATAGGAATATTTTCATATGAAGCAATAGTGAATTTCGTCAAATATTCAACTGTAATTTTTTTTTCAGAAGTTTTAAAAAACGTATTTCAATACTGATCAACAAATAAGTCACCCCTTCTATCCTTAAATAATTCGTAAGATTTTTTCTACTATTAACATTCATTATAACATTGTACAATTAAACATGACCTATAATTTATGTTATTTTTTTAGGAAATAAAGCTTTTGTTGTCGATTTTCTTGATACTGGAGTTACTCTGTTGTGTGTATTTGCGGCCATCCGGGAAAGAATTGTCCGGGGAGAATAAATATCCCCCACCAGAATCTCGACAGGCCTAACATTCAAATTTGTCTGGGGTGTGTGCGGTTATCTGTCAACAAGGGTATAGAGGACTGACTAGGGAGTAAGGTATAGAAGGGAGATATAACTGACGCGGTTCGCCCTACCATAGATTATACATGCTTTGCAGACGGGTACTCCATTTGTATATAAAATATTCAGAAAAAGTTTATTGTATACGCGGTAATTACATCAAACCAATATTTCTTATTCAAATGAAGTACCGTCTGCAAAGCATGTATAATCATATGGTAGGGCGAACCGCGTCAGATTGTTTATGTTTGGTGACCCTGTGCCGCAATTTGTATGGAGACAACATTTTTCATGCATTGGAGTTCATCCAGAGTATTTAACCTTATACTCTATAACCTTGGTTTAACTCTACCCTAAAGTTATTAATTATAAACCTTCTAATCTGTCCTAATTCCAGTATATAAAATAATGAAGAAAAATAAACTACCTGCAAATCTACTCTGCGCTTCTCCAAATCATGAATTCTATCCTGAAACAAATTCTAAATAATAATTTATTTAAAAAAGACTAGCAGAATTATCATCTGTGGAAGGAACAAGATTTGAATATGCAGGGTGTCCCATTAAACTTGGGACTTTGTTAAAAATTTGTTAGACTACACTTTATGTAAATTCCGTGTAAATTGGGATTAAACCTGTATCGTCAGTAAGGATTAAACCTGTATCTGGAGTAAGGTTTTAACCTGTATCTGGAGTAAAGTTCAAACCTGTATCTGGAGTAAGGATTAAATCTACATCTGGAGTAGGGATTAAACCTGTATCTGGAGTAAGGTTTCAACCTGTATTTGGAGTAAGGTTCAAACCTGTATCTGGAGTGAGGATTAAACCCACATCTGGAGTAGGGATTAAACCTGTATCTGGAGTAAGGTTTGATGAATAGTTTCTTGAAACCTCTCCTCAGTTTCTTGAACTAATCTCTGTAAATCATCTCTAAGCTGAAATTTGATTGTAATCAAAGCCTCCTTTCTAGTATAAATTATTCATTTTAACTTTTGATTTTCAATGCATAACACTTTTTACAGATTTTTTTTGTTTAAATTGGTGGATTAAAGATTTACAAAACTTAAGATTTTTTTACATTTTTTACCAGACAAAAAGACTATTTTTAAATTCTGTGTACCAAGTTCTTTGAACAACAAAAAATATTTCTAAAAAAAAGCTTTTCATACCTTCTCCGAATTTCTTCTGTGCGCTTCCGCGTTCCTGCATTTGGTTTGAAGATCTGATCTCCAGTGTAAATTTGCCCCGTTTGATTCCGAGTGCGTGGAAGCCAGCTCAAACATGTTTTCAACATCTCCAATGTGCTAAAATGGACAATTCAGTGCAAGTATAGTGTATATTGGTGTCTGTTACCTATTTCGTGAAACATGGTTGAAATCTATTAAATTAAAATTTTGGGTGGATCCATCGATCTTTGGCTTTTAAAAGGCATCATTAATTTATGATAATTTTATGAACAGGGTGTCCCAATTATATTTTATATACAGGGTATCCTTTGTAAATTTTTATGTAACGGGTGTCCCAATCATATTTTTTATGTACATACTTTCCTTATAATTTTTCATGTACAGGGGTCCATATTATATTTTTATGTACAGGGTGTACCTATTATATTTATATGTACAGGGGTCCTCATTATATTTTTATGTACAGGGTGCCTTTTAATATTTTAATGTCCATGTGGACACTATTATGCTTTTTGTTCAGGAAGTCCCTATTATATTTTCATGTACAGGGTGTCCCTATTATATAAAACCCTGGAAATATATTATTGCCAAGTTTACAAAAATATGATACCTTTGTATGGAAGCTATATCTAGCCCTGTGCTCTGCAGGATTAATATGATGAATATAATCCTCATTAGAATTCCCTCTATGTACTGCAGACACCAATCTACATTAATAGTAATCTTTTATTATTGATTTATTAAAACTTTTCATTTTTGGTAAACTTTTTGACAAAAGAATTGAGTCTATGCTACAAATTCTGATTTTCTATTCCCTTTATCTTTGAAACCCAAATTCAGTATATTTGATAAGTTCTTTTTGTAAAATTGTAATATTTTTTTAATACAATTACAATCGGCATCAAAGTATGGCATTTCATTGAAAAAAAAAAATACAAAAAAATGAAAACAGTGCACTCCTAGATCATCTAGGAGTGCAGTGTAAAGGATTAGCAATGATAAAATTTGAACTCAGTGCCATGAAGGAAAAAAATAAATATGACAAAAGGACACAATATGTCAGTGTATGATGTACTTTTGCTGCACCAAATGGTTTAAAAAATTTAAAATAGTTGTCTCTGCACTCTCATTATATAAATAATATTAGCACAAACACGCGGCATTGTGCGGTTTTCTGTGCCCCTCAACCTTTTTCTGGGTGGAAGCCGACCTTTTCTACTTAAATTGTTTAAAGTCGTCTTCCTATACCACAGTTTTCTGGTTCTCATTGTTTTTGACGCTCTGTTTTATAGAATGAGAAATAGAAATATGTAGGTACTAGGTAGTCAAATAGTTATTCTATAGAAGCATAACATTTATATTCTAAGTGAAATTATGTGTCATATGTTCATAGAACTATTCAAAATCCTTACTTAAATCTAACATTTATTTTCCCATTCCACACTTTTCAGATTCTTAATTTAAGAAGATAGTAAGAACCCTATAATATAAAAAGAATGATTTAATATGATATTTTTAAAATTACGATGAGTTCAAGAAATGTAATCAGAGTACTACTTAAATAAAAAAGATTATCCTAAAATTACCCAAGATCCTTCCCCTTAAAATCCGGGTGCTTCCCTTTCACATCCGGGTTCTTCCCTTTTCTTTCCAGGTTCTTCCCCTTCACATCCGGGCTGTTCACTTTTCCATCCGGGGTTTTATCTCTTCTTTTCTTTGTTTGATGTTTCTTTTCATTATTTTCTGTATTTTTCTCGTCTGTTCTATTTAACAAGATAAGAGTAAGGAACGATATTTATCCTAAAGTTGTGACAAGTTAAATATTTTCCTCTCAAACTCTCCAACTGTGCACAACTTATTGGAAAACATAATGAACATGTTTTCACTTTCTATACCTTCCCTCCACTCCCCTCTTTATACCCTCCGTGAGTAACCTTCAATGTAAAGAAGGACATACATACCAGATCAAACCATAAGCTTATCATTTAAATGTGGAAGATATTTTCATTTTTCTAGCTTAAAGGGACTGGAGAGGAAAAATGAAACCCTAGAATCTAGGACGTTCATCGAGACATATAAGAGTTAGCAGTTTGATGTTCCTGTCTCGAGAAATTGAAAATTATACCAAATTAACGTATATATGTAAGATTTTGTTTAAGATTTGTAGTATTGAACAGATCATATTCAACAAATACGCAACTAATCTTAAAACAACGATATCCCAGGGGAGCCTAAGAAACTCAAGTTTGCTCCTTTTATTATTTGAATTTAATATTTTTTTCATTTTTAATAGATTTAATTAAAAATATTATTTATGCGTCCGGAACATGTCACCAGAACTCCAACCAGTGGCATTGCAGTATTATTGTCACGTGTCTCCGTCTGTATCATGTGACCAGTATACTGCACTGCCATTGGAGGGAGTTCTGGTCACGTGATACGGACGTATATCTGACATATATACGTTTTGGTATAATTTTGACACAGTTTTATGTCAATGTCTCGAGACAGCAAGATCAGATAAATGTCTTCTTATAGGTATCGTTCAACTCCTGAGATTCTCAGGTTTCATCCTATACCGCCTTTAATTTTTCCTTTACAGGCCCTTTGATCTAATTTCTTCCATATATTGTTGCGAAGAAAATAGTCAATTTTTGATAAGAAGATGAAGGATAACTCATGACATTCAGGCGAAAATCGAGGGTTTCTTTAAATTTTGCATACATTCTCTTGAACCAAATATTTATTTACCTAGATTTTGTTGATTTTTCACCTTCGTTATCATCTGTAATAGAATATTTTTTAACATTTTGAATTATTATTATTAATTCTATGTAAAAGATATGGACAATAGTCACACTAGACTAAAGAAGGTTATTCCTGTGATTTAAAAAAAATCTTTTTTACGTTGGGAAATAAGGTGAGAACCTCTTATACATTTTAAGTCCAAGCACTTTATACCCCATCGTTGCCAAAATGATAGTGTTATAGATCATTTTTAAAATGCTTGTGTACTTGTCTTGACGCAATTATTATTTCTAGACATGATATACGCCCTTAACATGATAAACCTTTTTACCGCCTTTTACCAACATTCCCCCAACAGAGGGAGGTTAAGTCACTTAACATTCCTTGGGACAGTTATGTAAAATAACCACCCGCTCTGCGAAGTTTTCAGGAAAATATTCGCGCATTTTCATCTCGAAAGACGATAAAATTGTGTACAACTACTTTTTCGAGAAAAAAAATTTTACTTAACACACGGGTTCCCTCGACCAATTTTGTCAACAAAACATTCCTCGCTGCGCTCTAGACAAAATTGGTCTTGGGAACTTTCTTCGCTTGGGGACTCTTAGTAAAGCAAATTTCCCTTAACTTCCCTGTAAAATAATTGTAAATAATTATAACAAAGCAGAAATAAAAATTTAAGTTAATTTCAATTTGCCTTTACTGAGAAATAGAAAAATTATTTTAGAAATATTCTAACTTTGTTGGAGAAAATCCAGAAATCAATAGCAACTTGCTATAATATACAGTAAATTAAATATTACAGCACTATGATTACTTTATAGCACGACTATAATGAAATTTACTAAAAGTGAACATGAGTGATAAATTATAGTTTCATAAATATCCTTACCCCTCGCGCAATCTGAACATCTATGCCTGGTCCGTCCCCTTATCATAATAAAATAAAAATGCATGATGAAAGAAAATAATAAATTAATTATAAATATGAAAGGGGAGTTTATAAAGCTTTAATATTCCCCCATTTAAATGTTAAAAGTAAAAATAAAAATAAAAAAGGGATTATAAGGAATATAAAGGGACTATAAGCTTAATTTCAAGTTACTCTCTTTATACAAAGATGTCACAATGGTACCCTTGAAACCTTTATTTGATAAAAATGTCGAAGAAATTTTCGTTTTTCTTGACGAATCTAATTTTTATAATTCCTATGTTTCCGTGGAATAGAAATGAGTAAACCACTTTTGTATAGAAACCAAAAATGAAAAAAATTAGTATTTGAAATTATTAACATTAATATCTAATTCATACTTGATCAGACAAAGCTGTTAAAGGAATCGGTTGTGAATCCGGCATTGTCATCTTTGCCTGAAGGGTCCCCTTGAAATTACACATATAGTCATTAGTCCTTTAATCGAAAATTGAATCATTTCAACCCCCGAGACTGAAAGAAAGAAATAAAAGGAAGGGTCATTTGGAAGAAAAATCAAATTAAAATTGAAAAATGTTATTTTTAATTTTTTTCAAATCTTTCCTGTCGTGTCGATAGTTTAGAAGTCATTAATTTCGTATTCTGGGAAGAAATCAACGTTATTTTATTACTAAAGGAAACACCATGACCCACCAGATTTTCATCCGAAACCCCAATCTTTTCATAGAATTATTCCAACCCTCTGGATTTTCATCAGGTCTTCGATGATAGTGAGAGGTCATGGAGGTCTCCGATAAAAGGGTGTTTCCGATAGTACTCCAATGATGATGATTTCTCCTCAGATTTAATATTTTTTATTCTTGACAATCTAGATAAATGCATTTTTATTGATAATTCCTTAGATGAGGGGGTGGACAACTTTTTGCCTCTAAATTAATTCAAAATCAATGAAATCTGAGTTTAAATGCATTTTCTTAAAAACCAATAAATTGTAGTTTAACTAGATAAATAAACAAACCTTTTATTGATAATCTGAAACGTAATGGAATTGATTCTTTGCCACCAACTCAAATTTTCTAATCCCAATATATTTCAAACCTGATGGTGTAAACCTTTGAAATTTAAACTTAGTTTATTTCATCTAACAGAAATCAGAGTTTGAAAAATCGAAGGTCTACGCCATTGGGTTGCAAAGATATAGGGATTAGAAAATCAGAGTTTGTGGTAAAGACTCCATTCCTTTGCTAATAAACGAATAAACAATTTGATAAATTGGAGATAATAAATTAAAAACACCAAAAATATCTATTTTTTGTATAATGGATTTGATTTCTAAATTAGTTCCTTCTTGGTCTGTATTCCAGTAAACAAACTTCCCCTTTACGCCAGGAGCAGATGACAGTGGTCTAGCTACTCCTGCAGGACAGAATTTTATGAATTGGAAAGATCTCGGTGAACTACAAAACGCCAGTTCAACTACTAATAAATGTTCACTGGCGGAGGCTCATTAAAAGTTAAAGATTGTGAATACCCTAATGTTAAGTTAGATTCTGATTATTTCGCCGACACGTCCAACCAATCAGACAAACACAAGCTTCTAGCTGCAGTTAATCAATCTATTGGCTGAATCAGACAAACACAGGCTTCTAGCTGCAGTTAATTAATCTATTGGCTGAATCAGACAAACACAAGCTTCTAGCTGAAGTTAATTAATCTATTGGCTGAATCAGACAAACACAGGCTTCTAGCTGAAGTTAATTAATTATTGGCTGAATCAGACAAACAAAAGCTTCTAGCTGCAGTTAATTAATCTATTGGCTGAATCAGACAAACACAAGCTTCTAGCTGAAGTTAATCAATCTATTGGCTGAATCAGAAATCGGCTCTCAGTCTCTAGAATATGTCAAAATTTATAAACATTAAGTTGAACCAGCTATCATGGATACATGGTTGAACCGTCTCTGATAAGTTCCACAATTCTGATCCCTAAAGTAGAAGAGAATGGTCTATCTGACCCTGAGGTGTTGACCAGCTGAGGACTCCAGTTGACCCTGCGCTGAGGCTGGGATCCTTCGGCCTCTCTATCATCGTCATCAGAACTTAACAAAATTAATAAACAATCAGATTTTCTAAAACAAATTTTTTCAATTCCAACTATCCATAAACTTTTCATAATGGAATTCTATTCTAGAGTTCATTTTTTAAGGCCTTACAGAAAACACTGCTTGTAACCCTTAAAGGTCAAAGGAATATAGTCTTTGCCACAAACTTAAATTTTCTCAATATTAATTTAGAAAACTTGATCTCAATATCAAATTTGGGCACTTATAGATTTGAGGATCAATGCTTGATCCCTAAATCATGCGGGGCATGAACACCGCAGCATATTGAAGAGGAATAAAATTAATCCGTAGGTCAGAATAATACGGAAATTAATGCGTAGGTCAGAATAATACGGAAATTAATCCGTAGGTCTGAATAATACGGAAATTAATCCGTAGGTCTGAATAATACGGAAATTAATCCGTAGGTCTGAATAATACGGAAATTAATCCGTAGGTCTGGATAATACTGAAATTAATCCGTAGGTCTGGATAATACGGAAATTAAGCCGTAGGTCTGGATAATACGGAAGTTAATCCCTATGATCTGGATAATACGGAAATTAATCCGAATGGTCTGGATAATACGGAAATTAATCCGTATGATCTGGATAATACGGAAATTAATCCGTATGATCTGGATAATACGGAAGTTAATCCCTATGATCTGGATAATACGGAAATCAAGCCGTATGGTGTTCTTCTGTTTTAAAATCATGGTGATGCATTGCATGAAAGATTTAAGATTTTCCATTTTCTTGAAATAAAAATTAAACATATTTTTTACCTATCATCCCCTGCCTCTTCATTGCGTATCAACTCCTCTAAAACAGGATGTTGTTAATATATATTTGTGAGAATAAATCTTTATTCTGTCGAATCATTTTTTTAAGAACACATTTTTTGAAGAATAAAAACTTTCTTTTCCTAATAGTGCGGCAGCACTAAAAACTTGTTATGTCTAAAATTTCTAATTTTCAATTGCACTATAAAAACGCGTTTCGGACACGAATTCACAGAATTTCTTTCTTATTGTTACTCGGATATAGATTTAATAGGTACTGTTGTAAATCAAGGATTGAATCTGATAATGAGAGGTAAGTTAAGAAATTTTAAATTACCTAATAATTCATCATCCACTGTAAATGCCAATGATTGGGGAAATGTTTCTTTTACTTCAATTTCTTCAGTCCTGTTGTCTGATCTAAGCCTACTACCCGAACCAGGCCTACCGTTTAACCCAGGCCTACTGCCTGAACTAGGTCTACTGCTTAGTTTAGATTTAATGCCGATAGATGCGTCTTCATTAATTGCAAGAGTTTGTTGCCTATTCCAGATTTTAGAGATTTTTGGAACATTTGAGAACCAAGCCCTAAAATTACAGAATGTTTGAGAACCAAGCCCTATAGAATACTTGAGAACCTAGGTCTGAAATTACAGAAAATTTGAGAACCAAGCCCTGAAATTACAGAATATTTAAGAACCAAGCCCTGAAATTACAGAATGTTTGAGAAACAAGCCCTGAAATTACAGAATGTTAGAGAACCAAGCCCAGAAAATACGGAATATTTAAGAACCAAGCTCCGAAATTACAGAATATTTGAGAACCAACCCCTGAAATTACAGTATGTTTGAGAACAAACTCCTGAAATTACAGAATATTTGAGAACAAAGCCCTGGAAATAAAGAATATTTAAGAACCAAGCCCTGAAATTACAGAATGTTTGAGAAACAAGCCCTGAAAATACAGAGTATTTAAGAACCAAGCCCCGAAATTACAGAATATTTGAGAACAAAGCCCTGAAATTACAGAATGTTAGAGAACCAAGCCCTGAAAATACGGAATATTTAAGAACCAAGCTCCGAAATTACAGAATATTTGAGAACCAACCCCTGAAATTACAGTATGTTTGAGAACAAACCCCTGAAATTACAGAATATTTGAGAACAAAGTCCTGAAATTACAGAATATTTGAGAACCAAGCCCTGGAATTACAGAATATTTAAGAAACAAGCTCCGAAATTACAGAATATTTGAGAACCAAGCTCCGAAATTACAGAATATTTGAGAACCAACCCCTGAAATTACAGTATGTTAGAGAACAAACCCCTGAAATTACAGAATGTTTGAGAACAAAGTCCTGAAATTACAGAATATTTGAGAACCAAGCCCTGGAAATAAAGAATATTTAAGAACCAAGCCCTGAAATTACAGAATGTTTGAGAACCAAGCCCTGAAATCACAGCATATTTAAGAACCAAGCCCCGAAATTACAGAATATTTGAGAACCAAGCCCTGAAAATACAGAATATTTAAGAACCAAGCCCCGAAATTACAGAATATTTGAGAACTTAGTCCTGAAATTACAGAATATTTGAGAACCATGCTCTGAAATTACAGAATATTTGAAAGCCAAGTCCTGAAATGATAGATAATTGATTTTTGTGGAACTTTTTAAAAGTCCATAAAACTCTCAAAACATCACATTTAACCAATTTTGTTTTCAAAAAACGTAAATTTAACACATGTTTACTTTTGTTTGCTGATGAGCATCGCTTTAAGGTCCGTTTTAGAATATTCAAAGTTTTTAGACTTTTAAAGACTCAAGAATTTGAGATGTAAATTCTATTTCAAAATTGCATGCTAGACAAGATTTCTTTATTACATTATGCAATATCTTTTATTATAGAAAAAATTTCGCAAAATGTAATGAAAGCAAACTTATCGAAGAAACGATTTTGCAGTTTAATAAATAGCTCACATTTTGTTTTACAATTTTAATGAAATAAAAGCCTAAATGTCTCTAAACGATGGCCATCACTACCTTTGTTTATGTGTGTTCCAGCCGAAATCCCTTTTGTAGGTAGTTTGATACATCCAACCAGACATATTCCATTTTTAACCTATAGGTACAATTCTGTACACTTCTTTCAACTACTGTACAATTCTTTCAACTACTGTACACTTCTTTCAACTACTTTAAAATTCTTTCAACTACTCTACAAATCTTTCAATTACGATGTAAAATTCTTTCAACTTCTGTCTGTACAGTTCTTTAGATTACTGTTCACTTCTTTAAACTACTGTACCATTTTCTTTCAATTACTGTATATTTCTTTCAAAGACATTTGGCAGCCGACTATTTCGGCGTTTTAAGTGCTATATACAAAGAAATACTAAATATTAACTATTTACGAATGCGTCGAAAAATAATCGATGACTATAGGTTGTAATATTTGAATTATTTGTTTGAAATTAAATTGATTTTTTACGATCCGAGTTGAATATTGCAACTTTCTGAATTTGTATGGACGCTACATTCTTCAGTAAAAGTAGTTTTTAACAATTTTCTCCTTATAGACGCAACAGATAAAGGTAAGAGTAGTAGCGATCAAAAGCAATCCTTTCTCGCCGTAAGCCTTATACCCCCTTTCATTTTTCGCGAACACTTCCATTAATGTTTAAAAGAGCCTATGATACAGTTATATCCATAAAACTGTGAAATAAGTAAACATATCTTTCAGACTTAAGTTATGATTTTAAAATGATCGATGAAAAACATAACCACACTTTTTATAATAATTTTAGTTTCAAGCTTCTGGTGATATGACAGCAACTACAATTTCACGAAAAATGCTTATATATCGTCTTCTTATTCCACAGTATTACGAGTCCTACCATGTATATTCCAAGCACCTCGATATTGAAAATCAAATAAAACTAAGTTGTCTCTAAACTTCCAAAATTTCAAAACTGGCATAAGTTAAGGTTTGTTTTATTAAACTTTTTAATGGTTTTATAATAAAATGATCGTTATAACATGTTCATTTTTTCCTTTATTTTCTGTCAGAAAGCATTCTATCCGCCGATGGCGAAGATGTCGGGTAACAAATTCTGGACATTATATGATCGACATCGGTTTGTCGAAGGAGCGGGGAAGGCAGGTGGCCATAAGCTACATCCCTTCCATGCCATTTATTAGCTTTCTTGTCTTCCCGCAGCCAGGAGCCACAACCGTACGGTCTTCCATGACACAGCATATGAGTCTTCAGGCAGATATTACCTTTGTAAATAATAAACTTACGCATTGAAATTTTTATTTTCAAAAATCCAGCGACGTCATGCAAAGGAGATGTATAAAAAGAACTTTATATTTAAGTTTTAAATTGAAATGATGACGATTCCTTTTAACATAAACTGCAAAATTTATTTTCCCAAAAAATAAATTCAATCTTTCCTCTAAAATGGCTTATTTTTTTAAAACATTATGAACAATAAAAATGATGCACCATAGCATACTCAAAGGAAATCTGTAACGCGCAGGTAATGAGAGTTAATATTGTGAATTTACTCTTTTCCTATTATTTAGACTACCCAAACAATTTGTCTCGGTGCTCACAATGTGTAAAATGATGTAAAATTTTATTTGTATAATGTAAAGCAGTTTACAAACTAAACACACAGTTCATAGATCTTTAATAAACTTCTAAAATTTCTTAAATGTATAATCATTCGCGTAATTAATGCGGCAGGATTTTTAAAAATTTAAATTGGAATGCCCTAAATTTATCATCTGATAACGCAATAACTGCCTGAAGACTCAAATGCTGTGGCATGGAAGACCGTACGGTTGTGGTTCATGGCTGCCAGAAGACAAAAAAGATATTATGTGGCATTGAAGGGGAGAATGTTATGGCTTATGGCGGCCTGCCTTCTCCCGCTCGTCGGAGACTAAATGTTTGCAGGGATGTTCAGAATTAAACAATTGCTTTTCTTACACTTTGCCAAATTATAATACACAAAAAATAAGACAAATAAGATCAAAAACGAACCAAAGGAATGCACTTCACTAATCACTGTGAACTTATCAGGCAGGGCCGCCCAAGACACCCATATAGTTGTAAAATTCTGCTAAAGAGATACGGAGCGCCACAAATTAACAAAATATTCCCCAAATAATAGTTGACTGGTTGGCTGAGTTTTCATGACTGCATGAGGCTTAAACTTTGCTGCCTGCAGTCAATATACATTTGCCAATTAGATAGATAGATAGTTGGTTAAAAACTTATACAACATCAACATTTATATATATAAAAAGAAGTTTTCTCCATTGTTTGTTTGTATGTCCGGTCATAATTCGTGAACCCTTCTATTTGCTTTATATCTTAATTGGGGAACTCGGTAGAACCACAGGAATATTTTTAGTTTGGTTTAAAAATTCTAAATTATGTTGTTTAACTTTAATAGAGCAAGTTTGAAATTGGTATGCAGGCAAAGCTGGATTCCCAAGCTAAGTTCATGTTTAAAAAATAATTAAATTGCAAGAGAAAAACAAACCCAAACTTTACTTACTGAAAAAAATGCCATCTTTCGTAATTTAATGCGACCCTTTATGAAAACATGACTATGCCCAGTTCACACAAAACCTTTTAACGTTATGAATAATGCCTGTTTGGACCGTACATATGCAGTAGAGATCTATGGTGTTGATCATTTAAACGATGATGGAAACAGTACTGATGTTGATGATGTGTTATCTCCGACGGACGGGATCAAACAATTGTATATCTTCCTCAGAATAGAAAGAAAAAAAAACCCTTGAAAGATCGTTCCCCTCTCCCTTTTTTATCATGCTGTACAATGTACACAGCTAATATTTTTCGTCAGAGATTTCTTTCAAGGATGTCACTTATTTGGGGAAATTTAATTTTATGTTGAGGCACTGTAACAAAAATGCAATGATAATCCATTCGGTGCAAATGAATGTTCTGTGAATGATTTTTTAAACAATCCCTCATTAGGGTCGACAAATTCTCTTGTGTTACATCCAGTGTTCCCTTTTTAAACTTTGCTGCAGTTGGTAATGAACGAAAAAATGTTATACAACATTTTTTTTTCGGTGGGTTGGGCGTGTTTGGACCGTACATAATACATAGTACTTTTGAAGCACCCTATATTGCGTCCTAGTGGCTTCAGACTGGAATATATATACCTGCCTAGTTCAGGGATGAGAATATATCCCAAGTATTTGTAAAATATTTACATGGGATATTATGTTTATGCAGAGATTATTTTCATCCGCATATCTAGTATTCCTTAAAGTAAACGATACATTTGATATACTAGAGGCCGTTCCTTCCATAAACTACATTGGTCGACAACTTAACGTCCCCTATATTGGTCGTCAAATGTACGGAGAAATATCTATCTATCAGATAAGATTTAGCAGGAGACATCTAGCGGCCAACACGTCGTGTACGTTAACTACACGACCACTTTCTAAAGAGAGAACGGGCTCTGACTGCACTTAATTGATCTACCATGCAGATCTAAATATCTTGATTTTGATTATTGAACAAATAGTTATTGAGTCTATTGACATTTCTTAACAACTAATTGTTACTTAGTTTATTGAATGTTTTAATATTCTTTGTTTTCTAGTTAAATTATCAACTAAATTTGATATATTTAAAGGTTCCAGAGGCAGAACATCTGTAAACTAAGGTTTGTACATACATGATAGGCCGGGGGGTGTTATAAGCTAATATTTTTTTCCACGGACAATTAAAATATCTTAGATTGAGAAAATTTAGTCAATCCTGGGGCACGAGTTTTATTACCATTTCTTGAGAATATGATGTTCCTAAAAAGGCAAAGCTACGAAGTAAAAACATTACGGTTCACATAAACCTGCCACAACTGATAAAATAAAATAATATAAAATCAAGTTTTAATTTTATTTATATCTGTAATTTAACAATATAAAGGATCACTGGGGCTTAAAGGTTAGCTTAGACCCAGCCAACCACGAGATGGTAAGAACAGGAGTATTTTGGAGGAAACACGGTTAGGGTTTCTGTGTACATAAAATTCAGAGCGCGAAATTCAAACCTCAAAACCTAGCCTAAGTACAAATTTCTGATCAAAGGCGGCTGTGGTTTGAATTTTGGACTTTGTTAAGTGTATATGGTGATAACCTGCCAATTTTAGGTAAATAAATCTATATTGCTTTTTATTTCAGAATTTTTGTTTGGCAAAATTGATTTTAAACGTTGTAAAACAGGCTTCGAATCAACCTTTTTTTTGCCAAGTGAAGAAATAAGCCAAGACCTCCTGAGTAATGCCTTTCTTGTTTCAAATGTAGATTGCGGCAACGCGCATAAGGAACCCGAAATAAAGCTTTTAATAACAGATTTTAGAAATGAAGAAATTATTAATCTAACCATAGACATTACATTAACTGGTTCATCTATCAAAAAGTCATTTTTAGGCAAATTTTTATTTTTCTTAAAAGAAACGATTGACATTAGTAATGATAGGATTTCCTAAAAATGACTTTTTTCGAAGTTTCTACAAATATTTATCTGTATGTCTGTATGTATGATAGTTGAAACCGCAAACGGTAATATTAACAAACAAAGAATCATCAAAACGTTCCGACAGTTTCCTAGGTGTAGAATCTGCCGATTTTACTGAACAGTGATCATACACTTAATTTAGGTGATTTCCCTCCGTTTTCCTTAGTTGGCGGAAAATCCTCCAACATCGGCGGGTATTTCTAGCCATTTTCCCCAGGCGGCGGGAAACCGCTATCAATTGGCGGGTGAGTCTGTGAACACAAAACAGTTGAAATCCTACAAGGTGTCTAGATAAATTAAAACTGGTTTCACTCAGTATGGTTCTTAACGGTTCACTTTTGACGACATAATAATATCGCACACATAAACAAAGGGTCCCCCGGGGCAATGAAATCTAGGGGCTCCAAGGGGCCTGCCCTGGGGGCCCTAATAAAACCTATTTATCTATATTCTCTCAAAAGACCGAGTTTGTTGATAGAAACATGGCGCTTGCGCCAGGCTGGGGGCACGGACGCGCGTTTAGCTACGAGCATTGCCGCGCGCCTATGAGCGTGGACGCACGTAGTGTCAACCATCAACATGGTTCAGCTGAAGAAGATCTGAAAAAAAATAGTAAAACTTTGAATAACAAAATCTAAATAAACAAATATGTAAGAAAAAAGAAATGGATTTAAAGTTCCAGGGGAAAATTGAAAATTTGGACATTAAAAGGCAATTCTTTGTTCTATTTCATATTGAACCTTATTTTTTTTATTTTCCCCTAAACTCCGTTTATTATTTACAATTCAGGACTTAATTATATAGAGATATTGAAAATTTATCAAGTGTTGCATTAAAAAATATATGAATCCTGAAAATTTTTAAGTACTCTTATTTCTAGCTTCCCTCAAAATTTAGCCCCCCCCCCATCCCTTCACGATAATATGAATGTAAAGAACATATTGTGTACAACCAGATAAGAGAAAAAAAGATAAATATATATAAATATAAAGAAACATCTCATTATTTTCTAAACAGCTCAGATTAATCTTTGTTTCCTGGCAAACCGGGGAAAAGATGCATCTCAGATATCAATCATTATCCCAGAAAGTAAATATTTTAAAGATTTGATTGAAAATCTCAGATATCAATCATTATCCCAGAAAGTAAATATTTTAAAGATTTGATTGAAATTAATTAATCAGTCACAATAAACCTTCAAGGAAACTAAATAGTAAATCTCCTTTTTATGCTTATCCCTAATAAGGAGGGTAGGACCCGGGGGGGGGG